TGAAACATCTACTAAAAATTATTTGTCATTTATTTGAAATTCAAATTTAACTGGACATTGTGTATTTTTATTTGTTAAACCTGGCAACTTTTTTTTAGGGTCACTGAAAGAAAAGCTTTTAAAGCCAAGTCCATTAAATTTTAAAGTTATTGTTTGGGTATGGCACTTAATTAGGCTACAGAACTAGAATAATTGTGGCATGTATGTGACAGTGCTGGGGGATACGGAACTGTGTGGACAGACAACTAAAAAAAGACAAATCCTACCATCACAACAAATGATTTATTAATGTTTATGTTGGGGAAACCACAACCAAATTGATTCTGGAAAAATTATTGGTTAAGCCTTTGTTTTCCTAAAAGTTCATTACAGCAAAAACTTAAATTTCTGAACTGGATTGGAATTAAGGTCATTCAGTAGAAGACTTTACCATTAAAAAGGGAAATGCAGAGTTTAGAGACAAGGTATCTGAGAGAAGCTTAGGTACTTAACATTTTCAATATGGGAAAACCTGGTATTTGGAGAAAGCAAACCTGTTGTGTGTACAAAGAGGAAGGAGGGGACACTCAGATTTAGCAGATTCAGGTTTAGCAGATTTCTATGGAAGGAAGCAGAAAGCAGCATATCATGGGAGTGTCTGTAACTTTACTAAGACATTTAAAGTTACGCCAATACCTGAGCCTATAAGGTTTTCAATTCAGACTAAGTCTTTTCATCTGTTTAAAAAGGGATTTTGTTACATTTTAAGTGTTAGAACCTATTCTTTTAAAGAGTGCACTTTATTTTTATTTATTATTTAAAATAAGCTCATGCCCAACATGGGGCTTGAACTCATGACTGAAACCAAGAGTCACATGCTCTACTGACTGGACCAGCCAGGTGCCCCATGACTTGGTGATTTTAAAACGCATTCAGAGGGATGCCTGGGTAGCTCAGTGGTTAAGTGTCTGCTTTTGGCTCAGGGCATGATCCTGGAGTCCTGGAATCGAGTCCCACACTGGGTGCCCTGCATGGAGCCTGCTTCTCCCTCTGCCTATGTCTCTGCCTCTCTCTGTCTCTGTCTCTCATGAATAAGTGAAATCTTAAATAAATAAAACTCATTCAGAGCGCAAACTTAAAATCTGTAGATGCTAACTAAACCATTAAATTGCATGGTCAGTTAGACAGGAACGGAATCCCTTGAAATGCCCATATGTAAGTGCTGTTTTTTTTAAGATTTTATTTATTTATTCATGAAATATACAAGAGAGAAAGAGACGTAGGCAGAGAGAGAAGCAGGCTCCAGGCAGGGAGCCTGATGTGGGACTCGATCTTGGGACTGCGGGATCACGCTCTGAGCCAGGGGCAGGTGCTCAACCGCTGAGCCACCCAGGCATCCCTGTAAGTGCTGTTAATGGGAGAATTGGAATTCTCTGTTTTAGAAAGGGTGGGTTTGGGAGAAATCACATTGAGAAAGCCTTATGGGAAAATCTGAAGTAGTAACAAGAAGTTTCCATTGGAGTAGGATGATACAGAAATTTTAAGAGCACAGATCATTGAGAAATAATACATCAAGGGAACAGTACAGTGGGCAATTTGCTTGGAATAAATAGTAAGCATAGTAAAATAGGTTTAGGGTCTTTTGCAGGCCCTTAGGACCAGATGCCCTCTTTCTGGTAAAGACCAACAGATGTTTTCACAAATTTTGCTCACTGTGCAAATGCATTTAGGAAAACTTTATATTCTTCTAGTATCCTCTGGAAGATTTTTTGCTTCCCCATTACTTTCAAGGGGAAAGGTCTTAACTGTTGCAGAATTGGTTTTATTTATGCAAGTTAGTATTTGGGGACAGCAAACCTTTACCTTTGCCCTAGCAAGACATAATGTAAGAACCAAAGGCAAGGAAGCCCTGCATCTGCTTTATGTTGTGAATCTGCCTTTTTTTTTTTTTTAAAGATATTATTTATTTGAGAGAAAGTGAGAAGGAGCAGGGGGAGAGGCAGAAGCAGACTTCCTGCTGAACAGGGAGCCTGATGTGGGGCTCGATCCTAGGACTCTGGGATCATGACCTGAGCCGAAGGCAGACACTTAACTGACTGAACCACCCAAGTACCTGTGTTGTGGATCTGCTTTATGTTTTTGGCTGAAAAGAGGGGGGCCTTTTGGCCAACTGAACCACCGTGGTGCCTCAGCTTTTTTTTTTTTTTTTTTTAATTTAAGATTTTATTTATTTGAGTGAGAGAGAGCTTGAGTGGAGGGTAGGGCAGAGGGAGAGGGATAAGCAGACTCCCCTTTGAGCAGGGAGCCTGCAGCAGGGCTCAATCCTAGGATCCTGAGATCATGACCCAAGCCAAAGGCAGACACTTAACTGAACCACCCAAGCACCTGTGTTGTGGATCTGCTTTATGTTTTTGGCTCAAAAGAGGAGGGCCTTTTGGTCAATGTCCAGATCTTACCTTGTGGCATCATATTCTTCAGTTACTGTAGGTGTCCCACCCACCCTTAGTTTCTTTGGGAATGTTGACAAGTCACAAGGGATTAGGAGAAAATAGGTTTAGAAGTAAGAGATTAGAAAGGGGTACTAAAGTAGGTGTCCCACAAGAACTTTCTAACTTTTCTAACTTCTCAGAATTGAAAACGCATTATTTCAGTCTTCTGTTATAAAGCATTGAGTAGAGGGTTGACATTTGTCAGGAGCATCTTTTTTTTTTTAAAGTTTTTTTATTTTTATTTTTATTTATGATAGTCACAGAGAGAGAGAGAGAGAGAGGCAGAGACATAGGCAGAGGGAGAAGCAGGCTCCATGCACCGGGAGCCCGACGTGGGATTCGATCCCGGGTCTCCAGGATCATGCCCTGGGCCAAAGGCAGGCGCTAAACCGCTGCGCCACCCAGGGATCCCTTGGCAGGAGCATCTTATATGGAGAAGTGGGCAGCACTGATTGTATGGGGTAGCCCTCCCTTAAATGCTGGGTGAGAGTGGATACATTCTGTTCCTAGTGGACAGGACCTAACATTGCCCACTGCAACATAATTATGGTCTTGTGTGTTTGTTTCAGTGGCAGAAAACTACTTTACTTTTCTAGGTATCTAGCAATAGTGTTTTTTTTTTTTTTTTTTAAGATTTATTTATTCATGAGAGACAGAGAGGCAGAGACATTGGCAGAAGGAGAAGCAGGCTTCTCGCAGGAAGCCCGATGTGGGACTCAATCCCGGATCCTGGGATCATGCCCTGAGCCAAAGGCAGATGCTCATCCGCTGAGCCACCCTGGTGTCCCATCTAGCAGTAGTGTTTATGATTGCTCTTTTAAAATCCCTATTTGCCATTTCTCCACAGAAATGCTACAGGGCTGTTTAAAGGAAAGTTTGCTTTAAGAAGTTTTGAAATAATTAATGTGGCTTTAATTGGTGGATAAATATATAAAGAAGGGAGCATTAAAGTGGTCTGTGGCCAAAGCTCTATTTAAAAATATTTTATTTTTTGGAAAGATAATACACATGGTACAAAATTCAGAAAGACACAAAAGGGGATACAGTGAAAAGCCTCCCAGTCCTGTACCCATCCACCCTGTCACCCTCCCCACAAACCACTGTTGTTTCTAAGAATTTACTCTATAGGAATAATCCCATAGATATAATGTGAAATAACATATACACAAGAATATTCATTATAGCATTGCTTATAATAGCAAGAGATAGGAAACAATGGAAATGTCCATCATAGGGGACTGATTAAATAAATTATGATTTATCCATTCAGTGGAATAGTGTACAATTATAAAATAGAATGAGAGTTCTTTATGTGCAAGTATGGATTAAGTGAAAAAAGCAAAGTGCAGAACAGCATGCATCGGATGCTATTTGTGTTTTTTATACAAAGAATTATGTGTATGTGCATGAAGTTTTTCTGGAAGGGTGAGTAGGAATGTGAGGATTGGGAGGAGGTGCAGCTCCAGTGGGTATATGGAAGAGTTGTAAGTTCTCTGAACGGTGGGGTATAAGGCAGAGTGGCAAGGATGAGGTCAGCAGATACCCACTTGTCTTTCCCCTTTCTTTAGATAAATAGCAGCATATGTTCCACTTTGTTGTACAGCCTTCTTTCCCCACTTAGTCTATTTTGGATTTGTTTTCAAGGCATTTAGAGCCATTTTTTTTTCTTTCCTTTTTAGGCCTCTGTAACAACTAATTGTTTCTACTCTTTTGCTGTTACAAGTAATGTTATAATAAATAACCTATTACATGTGTCATTTCACATTTGATGAGAATATATCTGAATGTTAAATTCCTAGAAGAATCAAAGAGTAAGTGCTTTTATAATTTCAAGACATTGCCATATTGTCCTCTTCAGAAGTTGTGTCAATTTAAACCCCTGTTAGCTACTTATGTGAGTACCTCTTTCACCAGATGCTTGCCAACTAGGAGTCTTAACAAACTTTTTGATCTTTGCCAATCTGACAGTTTCTAAAAAGTGTCTCAAGTGTGGTTTTAACTCAAATTTCTTTTGTTATATTTTCATATGTGTAAAAACTGCATATTTTTGTCTGCTGAAAATATCTCGACTAGTATAGTAACCTAGAGCAATTGTTTAAACTCTGTGTTTTAATTTTCTCATCTGTAAATTAGGAATAAAATAGTAAGGATTGTTGGATGATTAAATGAAATTTGTGTTCAGCACTCAGTATAGTGCCTGGCATGTAACAAGCATTCAATACGTTGTTATGGGATGGCTGACAATCAGAGCAGCAGGTAGGACAGAACAGATTAAATTAAGAAAATAGCATTCATCTCCGTATCTTCAGGCATATAGTATTGTTCATTTACATTGCCCTTCATCAGACAAATGCAAAAGCAGAGCTTTCTTTGTCTTAGAAGAGTAAAGAACATTTTTCCATTGGATCCCAATCATAGGCTATTGGCAGAGCTGGCAAAAGGATAGGCACAGCCTTGTGTCTAATATTTAGACTTAGCCAATATGGTAAAGATATTTGGTTTAATATGAAATAAAAACAAAAACAGAGGAGCCCAGATGTACATTTCTTTATTCCACCATAGTTCTAAATTCCTAGCTAGCCAAGGTTGGAGTGGGTCTCTACTTGTAAACTGAGAAGGATGCTAGCCATCCCATTTTTGAAAGAAAGACAGCAGGGGCTTCTGAGTAGAGAGAAGAAACAACAATAGGAAATCTGGCTTCCCCTAAACAAGACTACACTGTATTTCACAAGCTAGAAAATAGACCTCTTATTTTTAGTACCTCAAACTGGTGTCACAAAAGGAGAGCCCAGGAGAGATTTGCTTCCTGTAAGAAACTGTGTATTTAATACGGGTCCTCAGAGATGGGCACCCTGTCCTGTGGCACCCCTTACTGTGATGCACAGGAGCTATCATGGGTAGATTGCGAATGTTTACCCACAGCTACTGAACATTTTCTTCAGCCTTGTTGAACGCCTTGGCCCTTTCTTATCAACTCCTCATATTTTTCATACTGCCCTCTTGCTGCTTGCTCAGTCACCATGCTCCCCTTCATTTGTGTCTCTTAACACTCAGCAAGCTAGTGTCAGTTTTCCTCCTGAGATGAGGGGATCTTCCGCCCTTCCCTGGGGCTACAGAACTGCTACAGGATGGAAATGTGGCAAAATCTGGCCCAGACGGGATTGGCTGAGGTGATGGTTCTTGGGAGGAGGCCTTGGAATCACTTTCCAAACTTCCCCCAATCCTTTTTTGTTAAAGAGATACTGAAGGACCAGACCTGGGGAGATGTAACCTCTGATCCAGTGGTGGAAGCATCAGGATGTTATGTGGATTCTGTCTGGGAAAGGCAATGTGAGGTCGAACCACCTTGCATGTTTGCACAGCTGGGGTAGATGAGGGCCATCCTTTGGTAAGCATCCCATAGCAAGGCCAGGACAGATGGCAGACTGGTCCTCATGGCCAGCGGCTGAAGCATTAAAGCATTTGGTGATGTTTGAGCCAAGCAAGGGCATGGCGGCATGAAGGCAGTGACAGAAGCTCACAGCCAGAGCCTAAGCTGGGAGAGCTGAAAAGCAGGCAGGGCTGGCTGGGAGCTGGGCTGCAGGGCCTTCTGCCTGCTTCTTCATGGTGTCTTCCCAGCTAGGAAAGCCTCCTCAAGGCCCCTACCTGAGGCTGGGGCCCATTTCCAGGTAGCTGTCCACACTGACCCCTCACTGCTACTCCTTGGCAGTGCAGTGTGGGGGGCCTGCCTCGGCCACATAACCTGGGGAGCAGTGGCAGCGGTAGGAGCCCTCGGTGTTCTCGCAGTGACCATGAGCACAGAGTGCAGCAGGCCCGTTCAAGTCATCACACTCATTCACATCTAAGAGGAAGGGAAGGAAGGAGAGAGCTGTAGGGAGCCCAGGTGCCTCTGGCCTGTTGCCTCTGCTGTTTCCACTAAGCTCTGGCCCCTGCCATACAGTGGAATCCTACATGTGGCAGTCAGAAGCTGAAGTCACTGCCCCAAACTAAGCAACTCAGAGACACAAAGCAGGTGGTAGTGGGCCCATCCTGTGCTCCTGAGTGATCATGCTCTCCTGTCCCTGCCTTTCTTCCTAGGAATCTCCAGGGAAAGGGTTTTCTATCCGCAGCACAGCAAGAGACCTTCCTTTGGCACTCTCTCACCACTTGGCCTGGCTCCAGGACACCCCGCTAGGGGGCAGCAGTGGATTTTCCAGCTATCCTAAATTCAGCCATGTATTCTTAAGTGAGCAGTGGGCCTGTCTGACCTTTCCACCTGGAGCCATCAGGGCCATCCTGCTCCCTGGGCATTGCCACTTGGATGGAAACTTACCCACACAGGCCATGTGGGCCATGTCCAGCTGGAAGCCCTCAAAGCAGTCACAGGTGTAGCCCTCCCTCACGCGCACACAGCGGCCGTTCTCACAGCCATTCAGGATGCCGCATTCCTCTGCCTGAAGCCCTTCGAAGCCAGCCTGGTGCTCTGGTAGGAGGGAGTCAGAGAAGGACGCTGAAGCCTTGCACTTAACCCTGGGGCCCTCACCCTCCACCACAAAGAGTTGCTCCTATTGAACTCCTAAGGTTGGGGTTGCGAGGGTCTAAAACCCTCACAGAAAGCCGCTGAAACAAAAGGCAGTATCCTTAAGAAATAAGTATGTGTCATTACTTGTGATGGCAGAGACATGCTGTGCCTTAAATGTCAACTTACTATTTTCACAGTGCCGCGGCTCCCAAGCAAGGGTGTCTCTACAGCTTTGTTTTTTTGTGGTTGTTGGTGGTTAAAATCTTTGCATAGTTTTTTGTGGGAGGGAGATTGGCAGCAAAAGGGGATTACCCTCAACATAAAGCAGAACTGAGCGATCTGCTTGGACACCTCCTCTCTGAGCAGCTCGCAACCCTGGGAAAGACACTGACCCTATCCCTGTCCCCATGCAGTCTGATAGAGTGGCTATGCCTGTGGCAGCTACTGTATCCATCACACAGGTGCCGGGCCTGACTTCGTTAGAATCCAAGTCCTGAGTGCTGGGGTCATTGCCACTTACAAACCGAGTCACCACAGCAAGCCTTTAAAGTGGTTAAAAATCCTTAATGCACATTTCAGGTCACAAGCGTGAGCTCGTAGAGCAGGTTATTCTGCACATTGTGAGTGTGTGGAGGGAGAAAAGCAGACTGGAGTGTACCTGCTTTCTCTTGCTCTCAATTCCCTCAGGGAAGCTTTTGAGGTTGAGATGGTGTCCTGTACCTCTTTGTGTCCCCAGTGCCAGTTCATCAGAGAGGGTTGTTAGGGTCTGACCCAGGCATGTGGAGTTGCCCCTTGAGTGACCTGTGAGAGGGCTTGGTGCATCTTTCCCCCTCCTTGGCCTCATCCCACTGGCAGTAGGTAGGTAGGTAGAGATGGAAGTAAAACAGCTTTGGCCCCTACCCCTTCCCCATTTTTGCAGCAACACAGACCTGGCTGGCTAGCCACATAGTGGGGCTGGAGTTCTGAGGGCTGCAGGGGTGACTCAAGAACTGGTGTGTGGTCCCCTGTGTGGCTGGCTGTGTTGGGGAAGGGTGGCTCTGGGATGGTGTCCTCAGGGCCCAGGTAGTTGTAGAAGGGGGCCCCATCTGGGCTGTAGAGGCTGTAGTGCAGGTCCTCGGGTCCAGGGCCATACTCATAGCCTGGCCGGAAGTGGACTCCAGCCTCCCGCTCTGCTTCAATCCGGGCCACATTGCACAGCTGAGCATAGACCTCTGTCAGGAAGGAGGGAGAGAGGAAGCTGCCAAGTTCCTGGTAGCTAAAGCCTGGTCGGCTATTCCCCTACTCACTGCCTGGGGAGTGGGAACATGCTGGGACTGGTGCCCTATGGGAATTCCTGGCAGTGCTCTTCCCACCCCACGCCACCCCACCCTGTCCTACTTTGTCCCCCAGGTAATAGGGATGGAAGACAGGGCCACGCTCTGACTGCTCTACTCCTTCTAAATCCGTTCCTCCAAGGTAAGGGCATTCCCTCCCCTAAGGCCCTTCCCCACATGCAGGCACGGGTCACCCTTCTCACCAGAGCTCCTGGGGGGGCACAGGGCACATTGCTGGCTCCAGGCCTCGCCATCTTGGCAGCAGCATTCTGTATAGGTGGTGCGGCGCCCGTGCAGGGGTTGGCTGCACACGTAATTGGTGACTCTTTTCCAGCAGATGTCCATGTGGATGTCGTGGTCAGGCAGGTCCTCTGGGGGCACAAGGCCCAGAAGCGCGTGAGCCCACCCAGTCCAGATCCACTCTCCCTGCTGCCCCACCATTCCAGGCCTACTGACCTGTGCTACCAGTGCTGTTTACGCAGCGCTGCTGGCTGAGGTCCAGGGTGAGGGGGGGGCTGCAGAAGCAGTGGAAGGAGCCTTCAGTGTTCACACACTCACCATTCTCACAGGCCATGTCCTGGCACTCGTCGTGATCTGTGGTGGCAGAAAGATGGAAGGAATGTATGGGGCAGTATCAAGGCAGCTTGCCCATGGACTGTCTTCGTGGAACTGGTAATGAAGTTGTAGCATCCTGCTTCCCCCTCCTCCCCTGATCCAGCCTGGTGTGGGAGACCCCTCTCCAGGGGTGCCTTTCCAACAGGTGACCATGTGCAAGTCCTGACAACCGCACAGCTCCCCACATTCAGGCCTGCCTGATGCAGGGGGATCTCCCAGGAGGAATGAGCCTGGCTGGCAGGGGCTCAGTGAGTGGTCAGCGGTGGGGGTGGGGGTGGGGAGGGGTCATGTGTGTCCTCACCCTCACACTTCCTGTGGACGGCATTGTAGTGGTAGCCAGCATTGCACAGGCAGATGTAGCCAGGCACCGTGTTGAGGCACCGGCCATTCTGGCAGAGACCAGGCCCGAACATCACACACTCATCTGCATCTGTGGGAGGGCAGAGATGAGGTGAGAAGCAGGACGAAGCAGAACTTAAGGGGCTCCAGAGCCAGACTTAGTGGGTTGGAATCCTGGTGCTCCTACTGGCTAGTTAGGTGACTATGGGCAACTTGCCTGAGTTCTCCTTGCCTTAGTTCCCTACCTAAAAAATGTAGATACTACCACTTAACCTCTTATTGTTATGAAGACTAAAAGATTAATATATGTAGGTGCTTACATAGTGCCTGGCACATAGCAAGCACTTAAGGAAAGCCACTTCTGTTTCTATTATTTCCGTTGCCAGCTTCAGATTAGGGCATTGAAGGGCTCATAACTGAACTACCCGCTTTGAATGTGGGTTCCCCAAAGTTTGTAAGTGGGGCCAGGGAGATAAGCAGCTGTCTTTGTACAGCAGTACTCTCCACCCTGACCCTGTCCTCTCTGACTGGGTCAGTCAAATCATCATAGTTTGTTCTGGAGGGTTTAGCCATGGGGGAGCAGAGAAACTGAGGTCGGGTTATACAGACACCTCCAGGAAGAGCTTAGGTCAGACGTTCTGGGTACAAATCTACTGGGTAGTCAGGGTAGTCAGCCCTGGGACAGAACAAGGGAAGCAACCAGGGGAGCGGGGTGGTTTGTTAGGCTGGGGCTGCATGCAGAACTTCCCCCGGGGACCTCCTAGAGGACCAGGCTGGGTCCGCTCAGGTGAGTGGAGTTTGGGGAGGTGGGTCTCTAGGGAGGTTACCTGTATACGTGGTCTGTCCAAACATCCAGGCTCCGTCCACAGGGATGTAGCCTTTACCACTAGGGCAGATCTCACTGAATTCAACTGTGTAGGGAGGCATCCAAGCTTAGAGACAGAAGGGCTCTGTCCCCATTCCTCTCCCCTCTTTCAGTGTCACTCTACAGAACTGACACTGAGGAATGGGACCCTTGGGGCCTTACCTGAGTCCTCAGCTGGGCAGGGGTCACAGGTGTCTCCCCAGCTGGCACCCTGGGTGCAACAGCACTCGGCCTGTGTGGTGTTCCGGCCCAGAAGGCTGGAGCAGGGCAGCTGGCCATTCTGCCCAGAGTAGCATTCCATGCGGACAGGGCCTGGGGGGTGGTCCCCTGGTGGGGCCTCAGGAATACTCTGACCTGTGTATGATAGATGCCCTTTATTATATTGTCTGTCCTTGACCATCTGGGGCACTCCAGCTTTTGAATTTATTTTCAAAGTTTTACATTTATATTAGCACTTCACAGTGTACAACATGCCTTTACCTATATTGTCTCACTTGTTGCTCCCGACAGCATTAATATTATCAGCTCTCTTTTACAGATGAGGCAGTTGAGGCTTAGGAGGCTAAGTGACTTGCCATGGTGACTTGCTATGGCCACCAGCTATTAGGCGGCACTGACCCCAGTTCTGGCACCCAAACCCCTGCTCTTTCAGGTCTAGCTCCTGCCGCCCTCACTGTACCCCTGGTCCATGGCCTGCCATATGGGCAGGCCTTCTCCATTCCTCAGCTCACACTGTACCCCAGGCCCTCTCACCTTCCCTTGTTCCAGTCCCTGCTTTCTTCTCCCCCAGTCAGAGGAGGCCAACTGAGTCCTAGTCCAGCCTGGAGTGAGGGGCTGAACCCACCAGCTTGGGTAGAGTGAGCAGGGAAAGTGAGGCTCAGCTCAGCTTCAAGGCCTCCGACACGGAAAGGCCCCCTTTGGGGCTCCATCTGAGACCCCTAGGCACCTTAAATTGGCATCGGTTCTTCCTGAGCCCCTCAGGCTTGTCACAGCCCTGAGCTGCCTAGACGTGCCCTGGCCCGGGGAGGACGTCCTCTAGTCTCGACAGTTGCCGTCCTCCGGCTCCTGGCTCTGTTCCACCCCAGTCCTAGGCGGCAGCCTTGCCCACACCGCCCTGGGCCCGGCCCGGGTTCCCTCTCAGGAGCTGGAGCGCTGGAAGTGGCAGAGGGGTCCCTGCAGGGCTAGGGCCTGGAGTGGGGGCGCTCACCTCCAGCCAGCCGCGGGCGGCAGTGCCCCTCCTGAGCGTCGTACTCCTCCAGGTCACTGGCACAGAGGCAGAGGAAGGAGCCCTCCACGTTCTCGCAGAGCGCCGCCCCACACACCGCCAGCATGAGCTCGCACTCGTTCACGTCTGCCGGCGCGAGCACAGGCTGGTGGGGGGGAAGCCGCGGCCCATGCCCCCTGCCCCTCTGCCTCCAGCCGGGGCAGATCCTCCTCTTACTCCCTCAAAAGAAACCAGCTAGGTCTTGGGGAAGAACAGAAGGGAGTTAGCAGGAAGGAAGAACGGATGAACACAGACCATGAGAAGGGAGACAGGAGAAGGGTGGCAGAAAAGGGTCTGTCTACTAAAGGGACCAAGAGGAAAGATTTCTCTGTGCATTCTCCAGAGGCGCCTCCGGAGACCCCGCTCAGAAGGGGGGCGCCTCCCTAATGTGCTCGCTCCCCCTGCTGGTAGAACATGACCGGTTTCTCCTAATCTGGTCAGGGTGCCAGCTGTAGGGTTGAAATCACCCACTCTCTGAGGACCTATTATGTATGGAACCGTGTGACCTTGAACATTTCAGGAAGAGGGCCCTGGGGCCTCTCTCCAGGACAGCCACGCCCCGTGGAGATGGGCCCAAGGGCCCACAGGCCTTCCCTTCCCTGGCCCCGAGCCTGGCTAGCCTGTAGGCTTCTCACCAACACAGTCCCAGCCGGAGGACGAAGCCTCGAAGCCCTGGTCACAGAGGCAGCGGAAGGATCCGTCAGTGTTGTCGCAGAAGCCGTGGCTCCCACACATGGTGTCGTTGGCACACTCGTCTATGTCTGTGGGACAGTGGGGACTAGAGTGTAGGGTGCACTCTTGCTCTGTTTGCTGGGAACACTTGGTCTACTGACACCAAGGTCTGTGAAAAGGGACTTCTAAACACAGGACAAGAACACTCTAACATTAACATTCCTCTTCGATTGCTGTGCAAGCCCTGCTGCATAGAAAATATGCAAACTTCAAAGAGCTACAAAAATAGTGTCCTCAGGACAAAGGACTTTCTAGCTGGATACCTGACAAATAGGTGTCCTCAGCCCTCCTACCTCTGACGCCCCATTCCTACTCACCGATGCAGTCTCCAGTTGGAGCCATGTGGAAGCCGGGCTGGCAGCCCAGGACACAGCGGTAGGAGCCAGGGCTGTTCTCACACCTCCAGGCCCCACATACTGGGTCTCCATAATCCTTGCACTCATCAATATCTGTCCCCAGAGCCAAGAGAGGGGACAGAAACGGGAGGGTCATTGCTCTGGCCCCACCTCTTTGGCATTACAAGGTCATGCCCCACAACTTTTGTTCTTGATCTGTTACAAACTACACTGCTCATCTCAACTCCAAAACATCGCTGGTGTCAGCCAATGCCATGTTCAGGATCATTCCTCCTGACCCAGCAGGGATGGTTGTCTAGGTAGAGAGCTACATGCTATTTAGGAAAGCACTGAGCTCTTTCTGTGACACCCCTGTCCCCCCACTCCCTTCTCCCTCTAGCAGAATACTTTATGATTATATAAAATCTTCACCAAAGTGTATTGCAGAAAATTGTCTTCATATTTGTCTCCCTTGCTCAATTTCAACACTGTCCATAACTGTCTATTTGTCCTAGCAAAAGACATTGAACCTGGCAGGGGTTTAATAAATATCTTATTGAATCAATTTAGCTTTAAAAACTCTGCTAGCATAAGGATTATGATTATCTTCATTCTGTCGTCTCTGGATTGGCCTTGAGTCAGCAGAGACTCAATAAATGCATTATCCATTGGATGATTAATCTGGAAAGTGCTCTGCTTCCTGCAAGCTGCAGTTCCTGGTCCCGGGGAGCTGAGGACCAGGCAGGGGTGGAGGTGGGCAGACGTGGGGCAGTGCCCTGTCCACTCGCCTTGGAGCCCTTACCCACACACTCCCCGCTCTCCGGGGAAGGCTGGAAGCCGGTCTCGCACAGACAGTTGAAGGAGCCCTCGGTGTTGACACAGTGTCCTCCCAGACACTGGTCTGTGACTGCACATTCATCCACATCTAGAATAGAGACCTCTGTCAGCAGACCCAGCCATGGGTCCCTGGGGCCCTCGGGAGCCCAGAGGAGAGCCAGAGAATGGCTCAGGGTAGGAAAGGGCCGGAAGATCTGAGGAAGAGTCCAGAGCTGGAAGCCAGAGGCCCGGCTGCGGGGAGGAGCCCTCAAACTAGGGCATTATCAAGGGCAGAAGGGTAACACCCAAAGGGTTCAAAGGGCACATGTCACCATCACAGAGAGGTCCTGTGAAAGGTTCTGAGTGCCTTCGTGGCACTTGGCTCCCTGTCACCATGCAGCTTCCCACCTCCCATCTCGGGGTGGCGGGGGGCACTTTATTTTCATAGACTAGACATAGCCTCCAGCAGCCCCTGCTGCTGGCAAGTGGACATGGCCAAGCTGGCTTCTCACCCTGGCAGCTGGTGCCCCCCTCTGCGCTGGCGAAGCCTGGTGCGCAGAGACAGAAGAAAGACCCGTGGCTGTTGAGGCACTCGCCATAGGGTGCACAGTACTCCTCTCCCACACACTCGTCCACATCTGCAAGGACAAGGTGGGCAGTGGTGTCTCCCAGGCGTGTTGCCACCTGTCCCCCCACACTCACTGCCCACAGTCCCCGATGGGATACGGAGCCACTCACCCTCACACACGGTGCCATTGGCCAGCTGGAAGCCTGGGGGGCAGAGGCACTGGTAGGAGCCAGCCGTGTTCTTGCACTCGCCTCCCTGGCAGCTGCTCTGGAGGTCTTCACACTCATCCACATCTGCACGGTCACACAGGGGGGAAGACAGTCCGTGGCAGCACCTCCCAAGAACAGGATCCAGTGGGGAGGTCTTCGGAGGACCTGTCCCCTGCCTGAGGAGCCTGGACCCGTAGGGGCATCATCCCCTTGTAAAGCAGCACAGCTGGGAGAAGCTGGCGAGGGAGCCTTTGGAGAGCCTCTTGACTGCAGCTCCGTCTACTTCATCCTGGAGGAGCCCAGCTGCCCACACAGTGCCCTTGGGGACACTCAGCCTCTCCCAGTGACCTTGGCTAAGGGTGGCCAAACTCGCTGTCCTTAGCATGGCTGAGACAGCTTAGGTTTTACTGGGAAGCGATGGGAAACAGATGAGAAGTAAAGGAAGGAAACAGACGTGAGAACCTGAGAAGGTGACAGGACTAGGCTCTGGAAGCAGGCCTACAGACTGCCGAGTACAGGCCCATGTTTCCCAGATATGCACCTAGCTGCCGCCCTTACAAAGAACACAGGAGACTGCATGTGGAGCGGACTCCCCTGAGGCTTCTGATCTGGTGGCTCCCTGGCCCCCTACACCCGGATGTGCAGTTGTCTTTCCAACTCCTGTTGAGGAGCGGTGAGAATAGGTGTCCCCAGGTAGCCCACCCAAGGTGGACAGAAGGGCCCCCCACCCCAGCCTGGGAGCAGCCCCTGCTGTGTCTGGTCACTCCCTTCTCTAAGGGTAGTGGGTCAGTCTCCTGCAGCCGGTCTGTGCTCCCCTTCCTCCCGGGCAGGGGGAGGGGGCTCTCACCTTCACATGTGTGGCCCAGGGGGCTGGGCCGGTAGCCCTCCTCGCAGTCCCTGCAGGAGAAGGAGCCGGCGGTGTTGGTGCAGACTCCTGTGGGGCAGACTCCCGGGAAGGCACACTCATCTAGGTCTGGGGCAGACAGCCAGCCAGTCACCCCGGGGCCTGGCAGAGGGGCTCCCTCCACCTAGCAAGGCAGGAGGCCCCCCACACCTCTGGCCTCCTTCTCTGAGCTTGTAGGACTCTCTCCGGGCATCTGGGGAGGGGCAGGCCCTGGCCATGGGCCTTCCGTAGGGCAACCCTGGTTCTCTCTCCCCAGAATGCTCTGGGGGTAGCTCTACCATCAGTATCCCTCTTGTGTCTGTGGCTCCCTCTTTTTCCTCCTGTCCTCACCCCCATACTTGGGGACGGTGACAAGAGATGCTCTCCTTGGGGGCCAAGTCTCCATTTATAGGGTCCTCAGCTGTAGCCTGGAGACCTTTTGGCATTAGCCCAAAGCTAGGGACAAATAGAATGTTCCTTGGGAGGTGAGAAGGCCTATATTGTCCGTCCCCCTCTGCCAGCGCCTCCCCGGGTTACCTTCACAGGCGGTGCCATCTTCATTCACCCAATAGCCGCTCTCGCAGGCTGAGCAGGTGAAGGAGCCCTGGGTGTTGAGGCAGAGGCCCGTGGGGCACGAGGCCCGGCTGGCACACTCGTCGACATCTGAAACAGGCCATTGAGTTCTGTGTGGGACTCTGCAGGACAGACATGGCAGGACAGCCAGAGGCTGACGGGTGGGCAGGGGTAGAGCAAAAGATGGGTCTTGGCAGGATGTGGGTTTGGGTCAGTGTGGTTAGGGATGTGGTGTCAGGGCTGGATTAGGAGTGAGTGTGCAGAGGGAAGGAGCCGGACGCTGGTGCACCTGTAGAGGAAGGTGCTTTTTAGCATCTTTGTACCTTGGCAGCCCTTCTCATCTGAGGTGACCGTGTAGCCCTGCTCACAGGAGCATCTAAAGGAGCCCTCCAGGTTGATGCACTTTCCATGGGCACAGACCCCAGGGGTCAGACACTCATTTACATCTGTGGAAGAGAAGTCCAGATGGTGGGCTGGCTTCTTCTTGTCCTCCATGTAGTCCCCACTGTCAGGCTTAGGGCATCTTGATTGTGAGGCCAGGCAATCAGCATTTGGTGGGTGGGGGGCAGAGGCCACCCTGGGAAGGCTGTGAGGTTCTTCCTGCTTCTGGCTCCACCCACCTCGCCCTTCCCGCCTGAGCCCACTGCAGCGCTATCTAGTAACACACAGCACTCTGCATATGTCCTAGAAAGGGGAGCCAGGTCCCCCAGCCCTGGGGCTGGTTTGGGCCATCTGAGGACACCCAGAATGAAATATCCAAGACCCTTGACTCACCTCACAGTGGATCTAAACCTTTCTAGTCTCCTACTTGCCCACCAAACTGGTATGAGTCCATGTTCCCAGCCCAACGACCAGCTTCAGTAGGTGAGTGGGCAATGCAGGGAGAGGCTGATCTATGCCTGAGTGGCTGAGTGGCAGACTCAAGGGCCTGGGAAATGCCTGCCCTCCCCAGAGTCTCAAAGCATCTATTCACAATTCAGTCCCTCCTGGCATTCTGAACCTTGGGCCCTTCTTCCTGCAGGGACTGATGGGAAAGAACATTCCTTCTACAGCTGAATTGCAGCCCCCTCTAGGGGGAGAAGAGCACCCCCTGGTCAGATAGGTGTTGCTGTTTAGACATTGCTGTGGAGCTGCAGAAGAGCAGAAGACCCCTCCTGCCCAGGAACCACAGCAGGACTTGGCTGCCAACTCACACCACCAGAGTCAGCCTCTTCCTAAGGTTCTAGGCAACTCATTCTACCCTGCAGGATCCAGCCACAGAAGCTTCTGGGACCTTGGGCTGTAGCTCCTGGATGGATATGGCCAAGGAGCCAAAGGGGCCCCCACCCAAGCTGATTCAGAGGGCAGAGCAGCAATGACTGAAGCACACCCATCTCATGCCCAGTGTCATGCAGGAACCCAGCCAGATCCTGGAGGACAATAGCCTCCAAGCCACTTCCCTCTGCCCGTTTCTTTCCCTCCCTGTGTGTGGGCTCAACCAGAGGTCCCAAGGCCAAATGGCCCTCTCACTGCCTTGGCGAGCAGCCCTCACCTACACAGCTCCCACTCTGGCCCCTGTAGCCCTCCTCACAGGCGAGGCAAGTGTAGGAGCCGGGGGAGTTGACGCATCTCCCATCAGGGCAGGTGCCAGGGTGACGGCATTCGTTGATATCTGCAAAATAACATCCCCTCCCTTGGTCATCCCTGGGAACCACAGCACATGGGTAGTTCAGTGAGGAAGCAAATCCTTGACCCTGCCCTTGGTGGGGGAGAGGGAGGAATGCCAGTTTCTGTACAGATGGAAACTAGGAAAAAGTGAGTGCTGTCCAGTGTTTCAGCTCCACCTCCCACCCACTGTCCTGGACAAAGAGAGATAGAAGAGCTTTAGAAAGGGAGACTCCCTGGGTGGGGCAAGAGGCCGTGGTCACCACTAGCTAGCTCTGGGAGGGTGGGAGAGTTCTATTTTGTGAGCTGAACTGTTGGGAAGGGCCTTCATATCTGTCTTGGTGAATCCTGTTCCCCTACATTACTGGGGTTGCACATGCTTGGGACAGCAGGTCCCAGAGACCTCAGAACAGATCACCAGCTGGGCAATGGAGGCAAAATGGGCTTCCCTGCACTAGGAGATGAGGACTGAGGATGACCCTCAGTCTTGGATGTGGCCAAAACCAGCCCTGAGCCTGATGCAGAGTCATGGATGGAGGCTGGCAAGGCTTCTTGACTGGAGGGACTTTTGTTCCAGCCCAGGGCACCCGGCATCCACTCTGGGGAGACCCACGAGAGAGTCAGAAAGGATGGGCCTGGGCACCAATCAGACAAACAGAGGAAGAGAGGACGCGAGGAAGGAGAGGAGCAGCCAGTCCTGGGAGAATGACAGCAAGGAAGAGGACAGAGATCTTGCTCCTGGGAACTGCAGGCAGTGTTCTTCCCCATGTGACTGGCATAGCTGCAAGTCCATCATTCAAGGAATACACGGGACTTGGGACTTGGGCTGAGTTAGGGAGGTCAAACTTAAACTCTGCGTTGGGACTACAGGAGGACGTTATGTGCCTCTGGCTCAATGTTGAGGCTCCCAGTTCCTATTTGTGACAGACAGATTGACTGAGCTTGAGGAAAGAAGAGAAATTACTCTTTGTAAATGAGTAACTGTCGTTCTCCTGGAGGAAGTCCACCAGCTTGGGCAGATTCAGAAACCCTTCTGCCTAAGAGGAAGATCTACTCAGCACCCATGGAAGAAATGCAAGAGGCAGGGCCAAAGGGTCAGAACACAGGCTTTCTGCAAAGAGACAAAAGCTGGCAGCTGTTGTTACAGAACAGAACAAGGGTCCCGAAGTGAAGAGTGAAAAGGAGGTGGTTTGGTCTGCAGAAGTCAGTTCACATCGAAGCCCTCGTCCCAGGGAACTGGGATCCTCTCAACACCCAAATTTCACCCCAAAGGTCCAGAAGGGGAAGATATACACAGGGAAGGTGGTTATTCAGCGGGGTATCTGTAAGGAGATGCCCAGAACCCCTAGGCAATCTTGGGGATACTGAGATAAGTCTCATCTCTACAAAGAGGGTAGCCAAGAGCCCCTGAATGGACTGTGGTGACACTGGGCTAACCTATTCTAAGGGGTTCTCTGTAAAGACAGAGATGGAGAGAATGCGACAGAGGAGGGGGACTGAAGGGTCTAGGGCCACCAGCTTTGGCCATCTGGGAGAGAGCAACCAGGACCATGGCCTTGGGGCCTAGGCTAAGGTACTGGAGGAGGATGGGCAAAGCCATTGGGAATGATAAGCAATCCCTGCTTCAGGAGATAAAGAGGTCAGGACCCATTTCTAAGACCACATTGAGAAAATATGAAGCTTTTGGATCTCTCCTGCGGAGATCAGGCAGGGTAGGAAGGAGATTAGATTTAGCAGGACTGAAGAGCCCTGATGTCTGGGCACGCTCATGGAGGTGGTGCACAAAGTGTCTTACTTATGCTGGGCATTAGGAGACCTGTGGTACTGATTGACTAAGTGTTCCAGCTCTCGCCTGCTGGGCTAGGGTGGGTGCCTCATGGTTCTTTGTGGTTGGGTGGAACCAGGGCACTAGTGCTGGCTGATGAGCCATGAAGTGTGTAATTTATGGACCAAAGCATAATTGTGAGCAATTCTGAAGAGCACTCTTCCTTTCTTCTGTGGAGACTGGCCACATTCAAGATACCGGCTATTCCTTTAGGCTAGTTCTAGAGTCAGGAGATGTGGGGCACAACCCCCAGCTGAGCCATGATGGGCCTGTGGCATTGGTCAGATACAAACTTTGCTGTGCTCGAAGTCCTGAGGCCTGGGGTTGCTTGTTAATGCAGCATAACCTCATCTATCCTGACACACCATTGCTGGCTTCCTTCCTCAGACCAGAGCCCCAGCTGGCGATTAGTGGATGTGAGAGGTCTGTCAGCAAGTGGGAGAAGGAAGGCAGATCACGGCAGCCCTTAGTCACTCCCTAAGCCAGGGAAAGGCTCCCCCAAATGGGGGGTGCATGTCACAGAGCCATCTGCCAAACCCACCCAAAGGAGCCAAGTAAAGATTCCAGATGACGTAGATCCCACTCCTGACCAGTCCATGTTAAGGGCATAGATTCTAGTGTCACCAGGTAGCCTGAGGCTGTTCCACCAACCCATTTGGTATGTGGACTGGAGCCAGATTTTCCTGCCTAGTCTGGGGTTTGAATTTTAATCTAAGATTACTGTATATTTTGCTAGGTTCTAATACTTGGTCGTCCGGGGCAGGACCTCTGTCTTACTCATTGCCCCACTCCTAGCCCACGACTGGGACATAGCTGGCGCTCAACAAAAGTTCGCTCACCAAAGAATGAGCCCACATGATGAAAACTCCACACACTCTTGCTATGAGGCTGCTGAAGAGACCCCAGAAGACTCAGGGAAACAGGTGCTTGCCAACCTGTCTGTACCCTGGGAAGATCCTGGAGTTTCCCTAAACCAGGGCTTCAGCCTTTGTGTGGGGAAATGTAACGGTGCCTGTCTCCGCTACTTGTGAGAGCATGGGGTGGGAGTGTGAGGGTGCCCAGGGGCCAGGAGCTAGAAGAATTTGGGTGTGGTTGGGGCACAGGAGAGCTCTGGCAGTCTGCAAACAGATCTAACCCCTCTCCGTGGGAACCTGGAGTCCTGGCATGACGGAAATGCCACTGAGACTTTGGATGGGCCGCTGTCCAGAGCACTCGGGCCTTCCATCAGAGACTTCTGAGTTGAAGTGGAGAGAGTGGTTTCTCAGTTGGAGCGAGAAGAAAGAGGGAGAGGAAATTGACCGGGCTCCCAGGGTGACGGCTGGGTCTGTGGTTGCTGATGGAAACCTGGAGAAGTTTGCAGGCTACATCAGGCTTTCAGCAGCCTGACGGTCCGCCTGGGGCCAGGAACCCTCTCTGACCTCCCAGCTGTGGTGTGTGTCTGGAACTTTTCCTCCAGAAGGGAAGGGGACAGTCCAGAGGAGTGGACTGGGGCACTGGGGGAGTCTAAAGGTGAAAAAGAATGGGAGCCTCACAGAGAAATACTGCCCCTGTGCACTGCAGGTCCTGTTGTATGCATTAGCTTAGCTGGTTAACTGGTCCTCACAGGGCCTCTGAGATGGGCATTATGGTTTCCATTTTCAGATGTCAAGACAAGAGCCAAGCCCAGGCCCCTTTCCACCAGAGCCTATGCCCATAACATGGACTAGTTAGTACAAATTTGATCTTTTTAAATGTACTGGTATTTTCTTGGTTCATCTCTTTTAGTTTTGCCTTTTTTTTTTTAAAATAAAATCTAATGGCAAATTTGTCATGTTGTCATGCTTAAATGAGGTCATCTATCCAGTACTCGCACAGCTCCCGGCACAGAGAAGGAACCCATCCAAAGCTAACTCTCTTCACTCTCCATTCTCCTGGAAAATGCTAGGCTTTCTGACTCCATCGTGCTTATGAGGACAAAGAGAGTACATTTTGGCTTTAATGGTGTATAGCCCAGGGTATTAAAGGGAACTCAGGTAGAGGGAGGCATTGCGAGGAGAAGGTGACCCCCTGGGGGCGCAGATAGTTGTCTGTCCTACACTTCCAGCCACCTCTCCCCTTTGCTAAGACCTGCTACAACTCCAGACTTTGCTTCCCTGATAATGGCAATGGGAAGGGGCATTCTCCTTTCGCTATATATTCACCTCCAGGAGGCTGTGAAACCAGGCAAGTCCTGGCCAAGAAAAACCTGGAGGCTGGGAGGTGGCTAGTCCTCACCTCGGATCATGGGTAGGATTTCTTTCCAGAGAGAACCTTGATTTACCCTCATTTATTCCTATCTCAGCTGGTCTAAGCACACAACTCAGGCCTCTTGCAAGCATCTGACACCCCAGCCTGGCAAGGAGGTGGTGGCGGCAGGGTTGCCAGGAGCTGGTGTGATAGTAGCAGCTTCAAGCCAGCCTGTAAGGAGACTGGTTGGCAACAGCACAGCCGCCTTTTGGCAGAGCCTGGGAAACAGAGCAGGGATCGGGGCTCACACATTCACTCTCCACTCATTCACTCATTCAGCTAGCATTTGCTGACATTTGTCCAATGCAGGACATTTCTCAGGTGTCTGCGTATGAGTCATCTAAGGATATGGTCCAGTCCCGAGGAGCTCACAGCCTAACAAGCTTTAGCAAGTAGGCCAGGGCTGAGGCCCTAAGCTCTTCCCACATAGACCAACTTCTCTGTCACTTAAGAGAGCAGCGTGACTCAAGGCGAGGGAAGAGGCATACAGCGGGATGTTTCTGGGGTCTCATGTATACAGAGTTGCTTGTGCTCCCCTGCTTTGGGGGGGCAGGCAGGAGGCCAAAAGATCACAGAGGGTATAGACAGCCTCACGAACTCCCTGACAGTGGGCTCAGCATCCAGGAGCCCAGTGGGAGACAAGCTGAAAGGTGAAGTGGGGGCAGTTAGAGCCTGGAGAGGCGATGGGGTGGCCGGCTGCCCCCCATCTCATTTCTTACCTTGACAGTGTCCCTTCCTGACCATGATGTAGCCCTGGTCACACTGGCAGTGGTACGAACCCTCCGTGTTGGTACATCGTCCCCCGCTGCACACCTCTGGCTGCTCGCATTCGTCTACATCTGTGAACACACAGAAAAGTCCTGAGTTGGGCCAGCTCTGCAGGGAGTCCGGGGGCATCTCTTCAGAGATGCTTGTGCTGAGGCCCCAGCGGGAAAGGCAACCTTGCTACAGCTATGATTGGTGGGAGACTCCTAGGCCAGGTCTGAGACTCCTCCAGCGCAGGCCTCTGCAAACCCCCGAGTTCCTTTCTCCCAGGGATACTACTTTGGGGGCCTTCGGGGACCCCTGCCCCAAGGCAAGGGCTGGTCTTGAGTCAGATGGCAGTCCAGATGGCACTACTGGAGGAGGCCAATAAAGTCCCCCTCCTGGCCCCAAGACATCCTCCAGAGGTCTGTTCCTAGAGTTATTGAAGGCCTTCCCCAAAGTTAGGGATTAAGCAGCCAGAGAGAGAGCATCTCAGGCAGCTGTGGATCTACTGAAGCAGTTTATTCCATTGTCCCAAAGCGTCCTGGTACCCCGCAGTGGCTCAAAAGTCCGACCTTGGTCACATCACTCCCCTGCTTAAACCCCTAGTAGGTTTCCCTGATGCTTCAGCCTGGCTCACGAGGCCTCTGCCACCTGGACCCAACCTCTCTGTGTTCCCTGATCCCCACTGGTCCAGCCACCACGCCTTGTTCATACAGATGTTTCCACGTGGAGTATCTTTCTTCGCCTCAATGGTCAGCAGAATGCTACTCCCCATTTCAAGGACTGGTTCAACTGATCAACCAAGGTTGCTCTGGCCACTTCCCATTCCTTGCCCCCATAGTCAAATCGATGGAGGATTTACCTTCGCCCCCCACCCCCCGCCCCACAAGCCCCGGCACTGGTTCAAACACTTCACTGGGTCCCTGTGCAGATTAAATGAGATAATCCAAGTGAAGGGCCCAGCATAGTGCCTGCCTGGCACAAATTAAGCACTGAAGAAATGTTGGCTATTATTATTCTAGCATTAAACCTACCCTACAAAATCTGATCTCCTATGCCTGGCATGTGAGATCTTTTATGATCTGGCCATTGTCTGCTTCTCTCACCGTTGTCCCACCTCTTAGCTCAGCCATGCAGGCACTGCTTCTGAGCTTGGGCGTGTGCTGCTCACCTGCCCAGAGTGGTTTCCTACCCACCAGCTTGGCTGTCTCCTACTCATCTCTCAGGTGAGGCTGACCTCTCCCCTCCAGGATTCCCTTAGGACCCAGCCATGAAAGTAACTATTCATTTGCCTGCTTTTTTCTCTCCCACTGCTGAGAATGTCCCTTATTATCCTAATGTCCCCAGTGCCCGGCACAAAACTCTCAAAAGTACTTGGTACATGAATGGAATAGTAACCATTGGTTTATAGACAGTGCTTTTATCTGAGTGGTACTTTGTAACACTGTAGTGCCCAGTGGGGTCACTGGCAGAAGGTGTAAAACGCACCACCACCCCCAGGCCCATATCTGGAGAGTCTGCCCAAGCAGTACTGGAAACTGCGTTATAATCACTTTCCAGGCATTTCTGAAATAACTAGTCCTCAGTTTGAGACGCTGTGGTCCCAGTGGAAGAGAAAAGGAAGCTCAGACACAGAGCCGCATGTGGTCACTTGATGAAGAACCCATGGACTGGCAGGGCCGGTGAGGAGGCTGAGAAAACAGACTTGCTTTATGGAAAAAAATGGGCAGAAAAACAGAAAAAAAAAACAAACAAAAAAAAAAACCCAGATCTTAAGGCCCCTACAAAGATGGATGAAAACTTGCTGTAAAAGGTGAAACTCTAACTTCAATGAAAGAAAGTGTAGAAGGATATCTTTGTAGCTTAGGGATGGGGAAGGATGTCAGAAATAATGCCCCAAAAACATAAAAATTAAGGCAAAATGGTGAATTTCAATATGTCAGAATTCAGGATTTCTGTTAAAAGTAGGACATGTGTTGGGGATCCCTGGGCGGCTCAGCGGTTTAGCACCTGCCTTCCGCCCAGGGCGTGATCCTGGAGACCTGGGATCGAGTCCTGCATCAGGCTCCCTGCACGGAGCCTGCTTCTCCCTCTGCCTGTGTCTCTGCCTCTCTCTCTCTCTCTCTCTCTCTCTGTCTCTCATGAATAAATAAAATCTTTAAAAAAAGATTATATTTATTTATTCTTGAGAGATACAGAGAGAGAGAGAGGCAGAGACACAGGCAGAGGGAGAAGCAGACTTCGTGCAGGGAGCCTGATGTGGGACTTCATCCCCGGACTCCAGGATCAGGCCCTGGGCGGAAGGCAGGTGCTAAACTGCTGGGCCACTGGGGCTGCCCTAAATAAATATAATCTTAAAAAAAAAAAAGAAAAAATAAATAAAAAAAAGAAAAAAGAAGGACATGTGGATAAGGTTAGTGAGCAGAGAATGAAATGAGAGAGTGGCAATATCTAAACCCAGACAAGTGGGGATCCCTGGGTGGCTTAGTGGTGTAGCACCTGCCTTTGACCCAGGGTGCAATCCTGGAGTCCCGGGATCGAGTCCCGCATTGGGCTCCCATGGAGCCTGCTTCTCCCTCCTCCTGAGTCTCTGCCTCTCTCTCTCTCTCTCTATGTCTATCATGAATAAAAAAAAAAAACAAAACAAAAAACAAAACAAAACAAAACCCAGGCAAGTATCTGGAATATGTAAGGAACTTCCAAGGAGCCACAAGAAAAGCCAGCAACCACAGGAGAACTGAGTGAAAAATAGGAACAAGCAATTTTCAGATAAGGAAACCCAGCGGCTAATGTACAAAGAAATGCTCATACTTATTTGTAAAGTAATATGCTTTAAAAAATATTTAATGTTCAAATAATGTATACTGATCAATTAGTTTTACTTACATTCGTTTAAATTCTATAAATTGTTATAATTTATATTAATTAGTTATATAAGTGGAGGAAATAATTTATTAATGATTAAATAATGAGATATTACTTTATAAGACTGGCAAAATTTAGAAAGTGGATGTTATCTTGAATAAGGTCCCATCAGGTGGCAGTCAAGCCCCACTGGGAGAAGCACTGACAGCTGATCCTGGGCTCCCTCCCCAGCTGTTGGGGCCAGCAGAGACATCCCGGACTGGTGACACCATTCCCTGCAGTGGCCACTGCTTGTCCCCAGCCAATGTCCCAGGCTGGGCCTGCAGAGAGCAGTGCCTCTGACCTGCAACACCTGCTAATGCCATGGAGCCCAGCAAAGTCCCGAGAAGCCCCTCATCCCCAGCCTCTCCCCTCACTACCTCCAGGCCATTCTGAGCAGTGCTGCTGAGTCACAGCCCTGAAAGCCAGCTGAGGGCCATCCCCACCCTCTGCTTACAAACCTCTCCTGGCTGCTCGTGGCCTGCCAAATGGTGTCCAAACACTTTAGCCTGGCACTCAAGACTTCAAAAACTGGCCCTGGCTCCTGCTACTTCCTCCACATACCCTTCGCTCCAGTCACACTGGATTTATCATTATTCCCAGGGCATGCCAGACTTGTTCACCACTCTGCTCTCTGGAGAAATGGTTCCCTTCCCCTGGAATACTCTCCGCTTTCTCCATTCCCTCACCGTGAGTGTCAGAGACTGTCGGAAACACAACGTGCATTGGGGCCAGAATGACTTTCATTCTGTTTCTAGTTCTGCCACAATCATGTAGGAGGTCCCTGGGTATTTCAAATCACCTCTCTGAGCCTCAGTTGATTTAACTATAAAATGGGGTAAGGATTTCTACCGCATGGGGGTGGGATGATGAGCTTCATATGATTAGGGCTTAGGACTGGGCCAGCACACAGAAGGGCTCATGAAATGGTAGCAATAACTATTCTGTCCCAGTTCCAACCCTCCCTCAAAACATGCAGTGAAACATGCCTGCATCCTACCATGGAGAGCCAGCTGCTTCCTCATCTGGATCCTACAGCACCACACGCACACACCTTACTCACTGCAGGATCCAGAGCTTACATGGTACCTGGCATGTGGGTGCTCAACGCTCGGTGTGAATGAAGGGCATGTGTAATCCCCCCACTCTGATTAAGTTCCCTGCTTGTTCTCTGCTCCCCTTACCCCATATCAGGTGAGGGGACCTGCGTAGTCTTGGTCTCTGCAGACCAGGTCTTTGGGGGGTTAGGACCTGGGGGACCCTGGTAGTGAGAAGACGCACAGCTTCCTGGTCTCCAGGAGGGGGCCCTGAGTGACGCTGGGCTGCCCCGGCCAGAACCAGCACTGTGAGCCTCCAGAGCGGCAGTGCCATCCTCCAGCTGAAGTGTTCCAGTTGGTGAGGCATCACAAGGTACTGCTTGCAAAGTGCTGCATCATATTCTCTGTGAGCTCATTCATAAAAATGTACGTGGAGGCTTTGTATCACGGGGCAAATGCTGGACATTAAAGGGTTTGTGTTGGAAGCCGCTTTGCCCAGGGCCCTGGAGGGGGGGGAGGCAGGCCTTCCCAGGGAAGTTTGAAGATATGCAGGCTCTCTGAGTTGCTGAGGACCCTCTGCAAAGGCACTCGTGCTCCCCGGTCTGCCAGGAGTCCCAGCCGGTGCCTTCACATGCCGCCCTCCTTACCCAAAATGAAAGTAGTCACTCAGAATCTGGGGACTAGACTTTAGGTTTTCATCTCCAGCCATATCCCCCGACCCTCTCACACTCCCAGCTCCAGCCACACCTCCTTGGATCCTTGGGAACTATTGTTATCTTTCAGGTTTGAACCTCTCCTCCTGGTCTGGTCTCAGCATAGGGGTCGGCTTCTATTCAGGTCCAGGTCAGAGCCCTGAGTCTCTGTTCTCACAGCCCCTGTGCTCTGCACACTGCAGTGCAGTGCCGAGTGCTGCGAATGCCTAGATCCTCTTCCACCTCAACACTCACTGTGGGGTCCTGTGCCTCTCCCAGGGACACAGGCAGGTTTGCTTACCTTGGCATTCCTGTGTGGTCCCTGAGGTGGCCAGTGTGTAGCCAGGGTAGCAGAAGCAGGAGTAGGAACCCACTCGGTTGACACAGTGCCCTCTTCCTGCACAGGGGTCCCTCAGACACTCGTTGTCATCTGAGCAGAGAAAGGTGGGAAAGGGAGGTCAGGGAGACCTTTCTTTGGGCACCTGCCAGCAACCTGCCAATGCTAGGAGCTGGACAGGGGATGGTGTTGTGGGTCAAGGAGAAGATGAGGGAGTAAGGAGAGAAGGCTGGGGAGATGAAAAATCTCTAAGGCTGGGGTCATGAAGTCTGCTCATAGGGCCCACTCAGGCACCAAGGGCCTGGGGCAGTGGCCCAGCACCTCCTCCTTGCCCCATGTCCCCCTCCCTCAGTGGCCCCCTGCTGACTTTCTTTCCTTCAAGGCACAGTGGATGTTTTTCTTTTGTGTAAAGCTCTTGAGATGGGGGATCAGCGGAGACATTTCTAACTAGGCTAGGCCTTGGTCTGCTCTGTAGGCAGCAAGATGGCTAGTTGGAAGGGTGGGCTGATCTCAGAGCTGAGGGCTCCAGGCACTGGTCAGGGGGCCCTGGGGTGGCTTCCCACTCTCCTGGAGTTCTGGAGACTCATCAGATGGTGCTTCTGGAGGCTTGTCTCCCCAAGGTTTAGGTTGGTTTTGTCCACAGGGAAAGCACTCTTCAACTCATTGGCCACACAGCACTGCTTGGACTTTCTGCTGCCTGGGCTCTTAACTCTGTCTCCAGCCACCGTGTGAGCCCATGGTGTCCCAGTGCATACCCGTGCAGTAGGCTTGGCTGGGATGCAACTGGTAGCCGGGGTTGCAGATGCATTTGTACCCATCTGGGAGGTTCACACAGGTTCCAGGGCCACAGATGTTGGTGGTTCCAGCGGCACATCTGTCAATGCCTGTGGGAGACACAGCCAAGCAGAGGTTATGCTGGGGTGAGGACAGACGAAGACAGTGGAGCAGCATGGTGAGAGTATGGGGGACAGGGCACAGGTCTCAGAGGACCCACAGAAGCCTCACTCCATTCTTGGCTGGGCCCTCTCATATCCATGTGAAGCATGGCCGTGTATAAAACCCCTGGCACCCCTCCCGGGACCCTGTCCCAGGATGGATTACAGTAGTGCATCCCTCTGACCAAGACCTAGTGGCCTCCACTAACCCATGTCCCAGTAAAGGGCCTCCCCTGCTGAGGCCTCCAGCCTGACTTCTCCCTGAATGAGGGCATGGCTCTCACCCCCAGTCCACAGAGCTTCCCTTCCCTTTCCCCTGGACAGACAGACAGAGTTGGCAAGGAGGGTGTTGGGGGAGAATTGCCAGAGGGAGAGGAGAGCTGGGCTGGGGCCAACCCAGCAGGGCCTCGGATGCCATGTTGAGACAGGCCCACGAGAAAGGGGGTCACGCAAGGTGGGGTATGATCAGAGCCATCTTGGAAACACCACTCATCTTGCCATGCCATCTCGCTCAGAAAGGCAGCAGATGGCCCATGGACTGGGCAGGGAGGCACAGAGGGCTCTCAGAAACTTGTTGAAATAATTCAAACAAGGACTGCCCTGGGTGGTGGTTATGGGGTAAAAAGTACAGAGACATGCTGAGTTCAGGAACAGTGGGTTGACTTGCCTGGATTCAGCAGTGGGGCTGTGTAGAGGACAGAGGCTCTAGCTTTTTCGAACTGTGTCCTTAACGCTAGAAAAGGGCCTGGCGCTTAGAGCATGCCGAATGGGCACATGAATGCGTGAGTGAGTGGCGCTTGCAGCCTTGCATCTGCCCTAAGGTCTTCGCTGTAAGCCCACAGGCCCAGGCTCCCCCGCCCTGCCTCACAGCACGGAGGTAACCCTGGAGACCAGACGAGCAGACAAGGCCTGTGTTGGTCCACAGCAGGCCTCGCGGTGGTTGCTGAGTGGGACTGAACTGAATGTGCACTGGCCTGCTTGCAAGGCTACCCTGTCCCTGGCCTGGCTCCAAGTTTGGGTCAGCCCAAAGGGAGGGGTGGGGGAGCTTGTGGGGACCCCCTGCCTAGTTCTAAATATCCCCCCAGAGGGGCGAGGCTGGGAAAAGGCAGGGGAGAAGGAGGATTAGGCTGTGGGTGGTGACTGAGGGGGGATTCTGTTCTCCCACATAGCTGATAGCCACTGTGGAGCCTAACCTGGGCTCTTCCTCCTGCCCCCCGCCCCCGGCCCTGCCTCCAGGCCCATTTTCCTGCGCTGGAGAACCCCCAAGGGAGCCCCTTCACCCAGCTTCTCTTGCCTGCCTCGCAGAGGAGGACGAGCAGTGCACTGAGCACAGAGGACAGAGGTCCCGGGAAAGGGCAGCAGGTTACCCAGGTTCACACCTGGGAGGGCCAACCCCCTCCTCCACCCCCGTACTCTCTGGACTGTCCCGCTGGGCTGCATGGTCTCTCTCTTTGCCAGAAGAAATCCAGAAATCTCTCTCCCCTGAGGTGAGCTCAGGCTGTGAGGTGAAGAGGTCAGCCAGCCCCTGGCGAGGGCACACGCGAGGGTGTGCGCGTGAGCACATATGTGCACAGGGAGCAGCTGCGGCATCACCAGCTTTGCTTCTCTGGAACCAAGTCCCCAAACAATGAGCCTTTGAGGAGGCTCATTCCAGAGCAAGGTGCATTTGCCAGGGATTTCCCCCACACTGCACCCCCTCACCATTGTAGGCGGCCAGAGAGGGGGAGCGCAGGCTCTCTGACAGTTAAACAACCTTGAGAACAGAACCACTATCCTTCCAGAAAGCTCGCTGTCCCTGTGAGCAGGAGACTGCCCCGCTGCCCGGGCACTCAGCCGACTCAGGGTGGACAGGCTGGAGGAGCCAGGCTCCTGGAGGCTCGCTGCGCTGCCCTTCCTCCAGAGGGCCCCCCTGGATTCTCCTAGAAAGTCTCCCAGTTAGGGGCACCTGGGTGGCTTGGTAGGTTAAGCATCTGCCTTCATCTCAGGTCATGATCCCGGGGTCCTGGGATACAGCCCCAAGTTGGCTCAATGCTCAGCCTGGAGTCTGCTCTTCCCTCTCCCCCTTCTCCTGCTCTCTCTCTCTTTCTCTCTCATTTTCTTGCTCTCAAATAAATAAAATATAAAGAAAGAAAGAAAGAAAGAAAGAAAGAAAGAAAGAAAGAAAGAAAGAAAGAAGAAAGCCTCCTAGTAAGAGGCTCCCCTAAGACCTCCCTTCTCTTTTTGCTCCCCCACTTGACTGGTGCTCCTGACAGGACCTCTGTGTTCACAAGAGGCACCCTGTAAGATGAAGCCAGGGGTGCTGAGTCTGAGCGGGAGTTCACTGGAAACTGTGCATCTGGTGGGAGAGGCCCTGGAGTTGGCTCTGACCAGCCGCACCCCACCAGGCTGACTGCAGGTACCTGAGGGGCCCAGGGCCACCAGCTCCTCAGCAGGGGTGGTCACGTGCTCTTCTTCCTGGTTGTCTGGGATCCCCTGTCCAGGAACCGGTGGCGTTGGTCTTTCTACGGCATCTCCTGCAGGGGAATGGGGGGTGGAAAGGGGAGGGCAGCTGGGCCACGGCTCCTTGGCCACCCACCTTCCCAACCCCGGACAGCGTTCCCTCCAGACATACTGGCAGTGGCCCTTCCCTCCTCCTGCCATGCCAACTGGAGAACCAGGGCTGGGGCCTAGGGTGGGTCAGCCCTTCTGCCTCCTACTAGTCTCCAGATACTTAACCTAGTTCCAGACAGAGTCAGAGAATCTGAGAGCTCTAATGGGTCCTAGAGCACCTCCAGTCTCAGCTTCCCTTTCACAGGTGAGGAGATAGGGTTGTGGAAATGGCCACTTGTCCAAAGCCAGCCAGCTTGGTGGAGACAGAGCACTTGGATAGTGCCCTGTCCCCAACTCCAGTCACCCTCTGCAAGCTGGGGTCTGCAGAGCTCCAACTATTTCCCAAAGGAAGATAGGTCACTGGGGAGGGGCTCTGGGGACCTGACCAGCCCCTGCTTCAGCCAGCACTTCCTCTTTGGTCTCATTTATACGTTGAGTGGCACCATGAAATGCAGAAAGGGTGCCGTGGCTAGGGAAATACTTGCAAAACGTCCCAGGGTCTTTCACTGACCTTACAGCACCTTAGGTGGATAGAGCGCCCACAAAAAAGCATTCACATGTCATACCATTCATGACCTCATCTGATTTGAGCCGCATGTATCAGCCCACAGTACAAAGTCTATGGTTTCTCCTTCCCTCCCTCCTGTTATCTGGGAGCTGCTAGGAGGGAGGGACTCACCTGGGACCCAGGCAGGTACTTGGGTAACACTGGTTGTGACCTGCACAGAAATAGGAGAAGGTCACTGTTGCTTCCTCTGTCACCTCCATGACGTGCTTTCTTCCACCACACTCACCCCTGCCTCCAGGCTTCCCGGCCACCTCCCTTCTTCACTTTCTCATTCCTTCCAGCTCTTGAGGAGTTCCTCCTACATGCTGGGCATTCTGCCAACACTTTATGTCCGTTGTCTTAATTAATCTGTTCAACTCTCGGGTGACAGTCAGTTGTACTGATTAAGTGAATGATGTATATGGCGTGCCAGCTCAGTGTCACACCAGCAATGCATAATGATCCTCTCAATGCTATGAGCCCAGATAAAGCAACAGAAGCTCCAGAGGTTAACTGGCCTACGTAGGGTCACAGGGCCAGTGTGGTGAAGCTAAGAGCCTAGGCCATAGTGCACAGCGGCGGTGGACTAGGAGGTGAGAAGGGGCAGAGGATGACAGAGAGGCAGGGGCCTGCTGGGGGCTGTGAGGACATGGACGTAGAACTCTGGTCTGGGAGGACAACACATGACTCTCCAGCTCACTTCCAGGGAAAGAAGCACCTGACAGTCAGGCATGCAGGTTGGAGGGGCAGGGGGACAGGGAAGGGATTGACAGACTGGTGAGGGAGAAGCAGGTGCATTCTTCTGGAATGTTTTTCTGGGAGAACATTCAGCTCTTTACAGGGGAAGCCTGGGCACGGGGAAGGGAGTGAAGAGGGCATCCACAGCTCTGCTTCCTCTTCTCCATGAGCCACTCCCAGAGGTGATCTTGTGGTGTAAGCAAATCAGGCTTAGAAAGTGCCGAATCCAGAATTAGTCTGGAAGCAGTTCTAGACCTTATCTGCACTCATAGGACGTGTTCCTACTTCCTTTCCTTCCCCAGAGCACCCCAAATGACAGAACACGGGTACAAGAGCTGCTGTTCTTCCTTCCCTTGGGGTAAAACTAGATCTTTGGAGGGACCCTCCCACTCCAGCATCTCTCCAGGTAATGGAGACCCTACTCATAATCCATCTGTCTCCCTTTCCTCCTTCAGAGGACACTGCCCTACAGTGTCAGTGCCCACCCTGTCCCACTCTCTGCCACGCTTGCCCAGCCTCTGCTGGGAGGACGCACTCACCTGGCCAGTCCGAGAATCTCCTGGGAAGGAAAGGTGAGAGCATGAGCTTGGGGAGGAGAGCCTGGCTGCCTTCTCCCTCCCGCCCACGGCCAGGGTTGGTTCAGTCTCTGACTCCTGACCTGGCCCCAGAGGCCAGCAGTGGAGAGAGCGCAGGATCTTTTTACCTGCTGCTGCCCCTCCGGCCCAGCCGGGACTGCCCGCCACAGATCCCATCATGCCAGGCCTGGAGGGCCAATGCAGTGGCTCCCTCCGTGGGAGGAAACCTCCTGCCTTCCCTTAAGCCTCAGTGATGAGGCCCACCCCTTCCTGGGCCAGTTCACACGGAGATGTAACCCCCCTCCTTGCTCTGCCATCGCCTCCCTCTCAAGCCTCCCACCTGTACCAGGTCGCTCCGCCCCCTGCCCTGGGCCAAGGCCCGGGCAACAGTTCTAGAAAGAGAGGAGCTCCTGGCCTGGCCAGTGTCCAGTTCCCATGACGACTGGGACTCTGTCCTGACTTCCTTGTCTGTCTGTTCCAGATTCTTGCAGCGCTGTGGCTAACACGTAGCTCTCCTGGTCTTAACATGTCCTGGGCCTCCTGCACTGTGTGCTACCGGCAACCTGGGTGTGCTACCAGTGTGGCTTCCCGGGGCCCCTGCCAGGGGTGCCTGCTGGGCCCAGGGGGACTGAGCTGGAGTTAGTGGTCTGACCCTAAGGCCAGGGAGGGGATCTACAGCACCCAGACCCCCGGGATCTCCCTGCCAGCTCTTCAGGCCTTGCAGCAAGCACCAGCCCCAGACGCTGCATGGCCAGGGGCAGGGGATAGAAAGACCTGAGCAGTTGGGGTGGGGGCTGTTGCTGACCTCTCCAACTGCCACTGGCAACCCTTGGGATGTGGGCATCTTTGCCGCCGTCCATGATGGGAAGGAGGTGGGGCCTGCCCGGCACACCAGGAGAGGAGGTTCCTGGGGTTGGGTGTTGCTGCTCTAAACGCCCTCTCCTAATGCTCCAGAGTTGGAAAGCCATGGATCCAGAATAAATACCCAGTAGCTCTTTGAGGGGGAAGGGGACTGCCTCAGGAACCTTCCAACCAGCCCAGATACCCTTGTCAGGGATGGTCTCGGCCTCTAGCCAGGTGTCAGTGACTGCTCGGAGTGGCTGCCTCTCTGCTGGCCCAGGCAGGGTCCCGTAGCTCTTCTGTGCTTGCTCCCTGGAGGGCCTGGCCAGTTCCTCCTCTTCAGCTTTCCTCATGGCCAGGCGGATATGTGAGCTCGAGTAGGTGTAGCCGTGGCCAGCCGGGCAGATCTCCCTGAAGGCCTCTGCAAAGTCACTGGTCAGAGGACAAGCTGACAGGCACAAACCCAGGGCCCTCCTTTCCCTCCTTTTGGGGGACAAGCATTGTGGCAGCAAGGGAGGAGGGACTCAGGTCGGGGTAAAGAATTGAGCAGGAGGAAAGGAAGACTAAGGGTCTTCTGGCTTGAGGTAAGGTCCAGGTGGCCACTGGTTCGGAGGAAGCCCTTTGGTGGCCAGAGCTGAGACTGGGACAGATGCTTACCTGTGCCAGGCAGGGGGCATCTCTCACACTTGCTGCCCCAGGCTTTGCCCACTCGGCTGCAGCAGCATATTTGTTTGGTGATGCTCTGGGCCAAAGGCAGGGCGCAGGTGCCAGGACCCAGTGACCGGTAGCACAGCCCCTGCTGCATGGAGATGGCCTTGTCGGCTGCAACAGACACAGCAGGGGGGTGGGCAGGTGGCCAGCCTCAAGTACAGGGAAGTACAGGGGCGGGTGCTGGCCAGTGGATGGGAGTGGCTGCTGGCAGCACACTCCAGCTGGCCTGACCCAAGTCTTGATCTGCAGCTTTGGGCACTGGAAATGCTCAAAAGAATGTTGGGAGGAATGGCCACAGGGGAAGGCTTTGGCATCTCCTTGTGTTACCTGCTGGAGGGGCGCCTTGACTCCCACCCTCTCTTGGAAAGCCTGAGGGCAGGAAATGGAGATGTATATGCTTGTCTCCAGGTGCTGAGTTTACAAATATTTATAATAGCCTACCACCAGCCTGGGGTTGGGTGGGGAGCAGTGGGCTCTAGGGCCACAGTCTCCCTGGGGAGATGAGACAAAGTGAGAGCCAAAGAACTGATGGGGAGCTTTGAGGACAGTGACTCTATTTTGGCCACCTTTGTAGCCCAATACCCTGTACAGTGTCTGGTGCTTGCAGATGCTCAGTAAATGCTGGCTGGACCCATGTGCATGGATGGCTATATCCACGAATCAAAATGCTACGGACCACTGTTGGTGTGAGCCATGCTGGGTTGAGATGGAAACACCACCACCACCATTATCCCCTTTCTTGTCCTTTGATGGTGAATATTGAAGACTATCCTCTTGGAAGTTTCTCAGTGGTGGATGAAGAGGCCATGTCATGCTGGAACAGACTGAATTCCTTGTCATGCCAGATGAAGGGAGGAGGGATGGGTAGAGAGGACAACACTCAAAGCTAAGGAGTTGATGACCAAGGTCAGGGTCCAGGACTCAGCAGGCCAAATTCAAATCCCTGCTCCACCAGGAGCTTTGTGGCCTCCCTGGGCTTTACTATCTTCATGTGTAAAATAAGGATGATGATAATTCCATGAGGAGCAGACACCTTTGTTTCTGCCTGCTTAGCACCGATGCCCCTGTGTTCTGGTGAAGGCACCTGGGTTTCCTCTGGCATCTACCCTGTCTTTTTTTTTTTAAATTTTTTTTATTTATTTACAATAGTCATACAGAGAGAGAGAAAGGCAGAGACACAGGCAGAGGGAGAAGCAGGCTCCATGCACTGGGAGCCCGACGTGGGATTCAATCCCGGGTCTCCAGGATCACGCCCTGAGCCAAAGGCAGGCGCCAAACCGCTGCGCCACCCAGGGATCCCTACCCTGTCTTTCACTCTGTCCATGTGGAGTGGAGGCCGGCCCTACTTCCTAGCTGAAAGAGTCCATACCTCTGGTCATAGTGAGTGGCTCAGGGATGGGCACTTGACCAAGTAGGCCCAATGATAATAATCGCTTCGGGGCTTTCCCTAGATTATTACAGAAGAGATACTTTTTATTTCTCTATTTTTAAACTGGAGTTTACAGGGCTGAGAGATGTAGGCCTAGAGTGTCTGGTGGCCACCTTTGAAGGAATTATGAAACCAACACAAAGGAAACAGAGCAAGAGGCATCCCAAGGACACTGTGTGCACCTGGATCCAACCAAGCCTGAGGCACACACCTACCCCTGGACTTCCTAGTTGTGTGGACCAATTATTTTTGCTTACAGTGGTTTGAGTTGGGTTTCTGTCACTTGCAACCTAGAGGCTCCTGACTATTATACTTTTTTTTTCACGTTTATTTATTTATTTAAGTAATCTCTACACCCAGTGTGGGGCTCAAACTCATGACCCCTGAGATCAAGAGTCATACGCTCCTCCAGCTGAGCCAGTTAGGCACCCCCTGACTAATGCACTTTCTTCACAATGATGTATATGAAAGTGACTTGTCAAAGGTCATATGCTAGATACACAGATCAATTCATGCTCAGTCCAGGAGCCTGGGTCTCCAGGTATAATCTCTGTTTCCAGTGGTCACTTCCCTTGGAATGCTGTAGGAAATGGCATGGTCCTTCTGAGCCCCAGGGTGGAGGTGACCTGGCTGAGAGTATCAGGAGGCTGCCCCACACAGAGGGGCCCTTGTAGAGTGCTCTATTGGCCCTGGTCAGGTGGTTGGGAAGAGGGCAAAGCTCAGAAGTGAAGGCAAGAGAAACTTCATGTCTGCCTCTTTCCACCTACAGGGAGGTAAATCATCAAGAGGGAGCTGGAGGGAGTAATAGTAGGGAGGGAGAAAAAGGACACCCAAGTGTCATCTCTGCCTCCCTATATTAAGGGTTTCTTTCTGGCACTAATAACTAAAAGCCACTTCAGGTGTGAAAAATGCCTAATCAAATGACCTTAAGTGGGGGGGTGCATAGGATGAGGAGAAGGAAGTGCTGTATGCCCCTGGAGGCACTGATCACATGTCCTTGTCACCACAAAGTCTCCCTGGGAGCCCATTCTGGGCCTCCTGACTCTCTGGGGATCCCTCTTCAGGCTCTTGCTGTCTTCTTTCCCTGTAGACATGCACTGGGTCCAGTCTCATCTTTCCCTTCACGTGGGATGCTCCCTCTGGGTGGCACTGGAGTCTTGCTCATCCTGCGGCGCCCCCCAGACCCAGCACCTAGTGGTTTGTAAGACTGAGGGCTTGGCTAGGCATGGGGAGCTCTGCTGAGCTGAGGGTGGCCAACCTGACCCGGACTGCCATTTGACAGATGCCAGTCAGGACTGGTTTTCTTCTGTTCTGGTCAGTCCACCCTGTCTGGGCTATGGCATCAGCTCTGCTATCTGGGGGTGCTGCCAGCCTGGGCTCCTTCCAGCAGGAAGCCACAGAGGCCACTGGAAACAACTGCCTGGGGGTACACACACACACACAGCGTGCACACACACACAGACATGGTCCTAATATGACAAGTGACGTGTATGTATTCACGGATGCAGACACATTCCGAACCATAAAGGACCCCAGGTTTATGGGAAGGCCTTCGGGCCAGAGAGCAGTGCCGTTCATGCTACAGATGGGACCTTTAAGGGAGGCCTATCTGTAGTTAAGGGACCAGGCTTTCAAACTCAGGCCTAGAAGAGGTAGCCACAGCTCAGAGGCATCAGAGCAAAGGCAACACATGTCCCCTCAAAGTAAATGAGGCAGCAGATGGGACAGAAAGGATTAGAGAAAAAATAGAAGTGGAAAATCCCAAACTGCAAAGCCCCAAAAGAAATGCCAAAAACCAAAACTGAAGTCATAACGGTCCCCGCTCTAGCAGGTAGGGGCAGGTCAGTTTTTGTACATTGAGCCCAGCTCCAGGTTGAGACAGAGGTCCTGGGCCCTGGGCCTCCAAGGAGCTGATCTTTTTTTTTTTTTTTTTAAGATTTTATTTATTTGACAGAGAGAAAGAGCACATGCAAGGAGAGCAGCAGGCAAAGGGAGAGGGAGAATCAGGCTCCCTGCTGAGTAGGAGCCCAATGCGGGGCTCAATCCCAGGACCCTAGGATCTTGACCCGAGCCGAAGGCAGATGCCCAACCGACTGAGCCACTCAGGTGTCCCCCAAGGATCCCATCTTGTTTCCCGGTATCCACCATCTCTGCTCCCCACCAGCACTTACACACGCAGCGGCTCCTGGATGGGTCCAGCATGAGGCCAGGCCCGCAGGTGCACAGGTAGCTGCCCCTGGTGTTCACACACTCCGAGTCCTTGCACAGATCCAAGGTCAGGCACTCGTTGATATCTGCAGGGTTGGAGAAGGTGAGGGAGCACCCACCCCACCAAGCCTGATGGAGGGGAGGGGCTGGCGCACAGATCTTCTTCCCATACTTCCTCCAAAAAAGGGGGACAACAATAAGAGAGCTGCCATCTGTTAAGTGTGGTCGCTCTCTCTGTGCCTCAGTTTCTTCATTCATAAAATGGGGTACATTAATAGTAACTAGTATTGTTAGGAGAATAGTCCTGTTAGAATAAAACAAGCTAAAAATTGCAAATCACTTAATTCTACTAACTAGTACTAAAAATCATAATATTAGGAGCTAACGTGTATGGACCATCTGTTATGTGCCAGGTACCATGCCAGGTGGCTTACGTATGACACTTCATTGAATTCTTACCAATAATTTTATCAAGTAGACCCATGTGACTTCATTTCATAACTGAGGAAACAGGGTCCAGGAGTAACTTGCCCAAAGTCACTCAGCTGGTGAGTGGCATGCTGGGATGCAAATGAGGGGAGCAGAGAAGGGGACAGTTTGGGATGGAGGGTGGAGAACCATTTGCCCAGTCCCCAGTCCCCCCTATTCAGCCTTCCTTGAGGGACTCTGAAGCATCTCTGCTGGGCCCAAGATCTAGGGAGCACGTCCACAGTGAGCTGCAGGATGGAGGGTCCCTGGCAAGGATGAGGAGGGAGGAAGATGGAAACAAGCCCCAAAGGGTAGACGGTTTGGAGGGCATATTTTCAGGAGGCTGGGAGGCCTCGAGCAGGCCACACACATCCTCCAACACCAGTGGATGCTCACGCTGTTTTTTAGATAAGGGAGTGACATTAGCTTCCTTTGTGATCTCAGAAACATTTCATGCTGGAAACTTTTTCCTGCCAAGGGGAAATCCCAACCCTCACACTCTAAGCTCCAAGAAGTCTTGGCGATGGTGCCTTTGGTGATGATGGTGAGTATGGAAGATTTGTGAGGGGCACTCTCACCTCCAGAGCCAGGATATTAGACATGACGACCCCATCACCAGAGTCACCTGCTCACCTGTAGGCTTCAGGGAAAGTGGCACTGAGCACAGGAATGAAGGGGCTAGAAGATGGCCCAACCATTCTTTGGCAGGACACCCTATTGGGAGCGAGGTGCCCTTGGGAAATGCCATTGAGATCTAGGAAGGGGAACAGACCAGACCCATTTGCCTCTGGACTGTGGCCAGAGTGATATATCTAAATTTGATATGCTGGGACACCTGAGTGGCTCAGTGGTTCAGCATCTGTCTTTGGCTCAGGGTGTGATCCCTGGTCCTGGGATTGAGTTCTGCTTTGGGCTCCCCGCAGGGAGCCTGCTTCTCCCTCTGCCTGTGTCTCTGCCTCTCTCTGCATCTTCCATGAATAAACAAGTAAAATCTTTAAAAACAAAAACATGACATGCCTCTGGGGTCCCCATTCACCTCTTAGAGGGAGCTCCTAAACTCTCACATGGTGTCCAATGCCCTCCACTATATTTCCCCAAAGCCTGAGGGTGAGTAGGTGGCTCCAATGAGGCCCTGAAATGTCTGTATTCTCTCCCGTGGCTACACAGGCTGTACTCCAGCCAGCCCAACTGTTCCTTTGCCTGGAATGCCCGCATCCTCTTTAACTGATTGCCTCTACTCATCCTTCTCCAGGTCAGGCATCACCTGAAGCCCTTCTCCTACCTCCCAGTCTGGGAAGGGGCCCCTACCCCACCATCCCATGGCACCCAGAGCTTCTTCCTAGCAAAAGAACTTCTCCCATGGTGTATAATTGTTTAAACATCTGTATTCACCCGAAGCAGCTGCCGTGTTTATCTGTCACTGTGTGCTAATGCCTAGCACAATGCATGCAGCTCATAACAACACTCCCCAAAATTGCCCTGTAGCAGGAGAGAAGGATGGAGAGAGAGAGAGGATGGTGATGCACACGGGTATAGAAGTGAGCAGGTTCCCCCCCAGATATGGAGACCAAGACGACAGACATGGAAAGGGGGAGGTTTAAAGGGGAAGGCCTCCTGGGGAGGGCCCCTTGGCTTCCTGTATCCTTGGGGCTTAATGGAGGGAGGGCCAAGAGCTCACATGCGATCCCGAGAATAACTTTAACCCTGTGCACTGGGAAACCTGCCAGGAGGAGAGGCCACTGGGGACAGTTGAGATATGAATGGCCCTTCTGTATCCTCTAAGAGCAACACTAAAGACTTCTCTCCACACCCACCATCCAGTCTACTAGTCCTCATTGCCCCCAGGGGAGCCTGACCTTGGGCTGGGTCAGAGGTCTGCCCTTTTGCCTGGCCCAAGCACTTTGTCCATAGGCCAGAAATCCCCTTCAGGCCCAGTACCCCCCCAGGAAGATAGCCTGGCTACCCTGAGATTTCCTCAGATCCCTCTCTCCCGAAGAAGAAGCCTCCTAGGGGAGGGTACCTTGGCCTGTCAGCCAGGCCAGCAAGGTCAGGGTCTGTGCTTCATGGTCCCCTCTTACCTCCACCTGTGCCTTTTCTCTGCCCCCTCCTGGCTGCGGGAGGGAGGTCTTAGCAGCTGGAGGTAATTTGTTGAAGGATGTCCACAGAGGTCCCCATCAACTCAGGCTGACTAGATTGTGAAGTCAAAAGTCCTCTCATCCCAGGGGGGATTGGCCCGGGAGGTAAGGGGATATGTGGGGACTGAGGAAGTGCCTTCACACACAGATCCTGCAGCTGGAGAAAGGCACCTGGCCTAGGTCTGGCAGGGCGTGGGGGTGGGGCAGTTGGAGAGGGAAAGAGAGACGGGTTCAGCTCCCAGGTCCTTTCTAGGCCTGCTCTATCATTATCCCACCATGATTTCCTTAGGTCGCTGGAACCAGCAGCCCCCACAACTCCCTCAAGCTGGGGCTTAGAGGTGCCCAGCGAAGACCACTCAGCGACACCACTCCTTCTGTCTGTGGATGGGTAGGGGGAATGCCCCGGCATCCTCAGCCCTTCATCATCTCCCATCCCTAAGCCCAGCCCTGGCCTGGGTCATCCTTACCTTGGCAGTGAGTGAGATTCAGTCTCTTGTACCCCTGGGGACACTCCAGTTGGCCATTTTCAATCACCGGGGAGGCTGAAGAGTAAAGATATAGACAGGTCTCACTGGAGGGCCTTGGGCTGTCACTCATGATGAAAAAAAGTAGGGTGCAATCCACTCCACAGCTGTGAGGCCCTGTCCCCCAAGTCATCACTGCAGACAGCTGTGCCTCCTTGGGTACAATTCCTTCTCTGGCTCTCACCAGGTCACTCTGCACCCACCTTGCTCTTTCTATTATTTTAAAAGATTTTATTTATTCATAAGGAACACACAGAGAGAGGCAGAGACACAGGCAGAGGGAGAAGCAGGCTCCCTGCAAGGAGCCCGATGTGGGACTTGATCCCAGGACTCCGGGATCATGCTCTGAGCTGAAGACAGACACTCAACTGCTGAGCCACCCAGGCATCCCCACCTTGCTCTTTCTAGAAAAGACACTCCATGACTGCAGGTTTTGAACATATATCAATGTTATACACTCTTATGTGATTAAACATGTTTTCTGTATTTAATTAATTAATTAATTAATTAATTTTTTGGTGTTGAAGTAATTATAGATTTGCAGGAAGTTACAAGAAATAGTCACAGAGAGGTCCTGTGTGTCCATCGCCCAAGTTTCTCCTAATGGTTACGGCTTATATAACTAGCGTAGATGGAACAGTTCACAGTCTAAGTTCAGTGTATTTCGATCTTGGGTTTGAATGCTGCCGTAGCTGACAAGGTGTCTTGGCTCAAGACAGAAGAAGCTCCTAGTTGATGGCACCTTATAAAACCACACTATTTGGTTTTCATTCACCAGCTGTGCGATGCTGGTGCTGAAATCTGGCCATAACTTTCCATCTCCCCTGAGGTTGGCTAGTTGTTCTTACAAAGGTAAAATACATTAAAAAATTCCAGTTTTCAAGTTTTTTAAATGTGCAAATGGAGTTGGTTTACAGCAACCAATCCCATAATGATGGCACTGCTTCCAAAAATCCGTTTCAAAAGGCTCTTTCTGTGGCACAGGCTCTGGCACAGCAGCCCTCCCCAAAGTTAATGGCAGACCAAACTGGTTTGACTCCAGATTCACCAACAAGGAAATAAGTCTTAGATTCTGGTGCTAATACCCGCCCATCTGACCTGGATTTCTCAACATTCTCCTTTACTATAAAGGGGTGGGGAGTGCGTTGAAAAAGAAAAACCTATTGACTTGAAAACAGGGAACCATCTCTGTTACTTTAGTGGGATGGACTAGCACGTCAGCCTCCAGAGGAATGCTTTGAAGGGCATTTTGATTTTCTTTCTTTCCCTGAAAAGCTCTAGCAGGTAGCAGAGTACTGACAGCCGTTTGTCATCACAGGAAAGGGCAGCAGATATGGACACCCATCTTTTTGTTTTTTTTGTTTTTTGTTTTTTTTTTTTAAAGAAAAGAACAGCTCATATATAAGTCTGACCATTTTTTTGGCCAAGACACAGCTGGCAATTCTCATGGGTATGGGGATTTTTCCCAGGCACTATTCTGACACAGTGTTCCACAAAGCTCCATCCTACTTTAAAGGTCTTGTTTTATAAACAAGACTTCCCCTGGCAATTTGTCTTCTGATTTTGACTTCCTTGTGACTTCCTTGTCTATGATCAGATGCTGTGGTAAGGGGATGTCACACAGAGCACCCTCCACCTCTATGACCTCACCTAGATCTCTTTCTATTTCAGTTAGAGCATCAGCAACTACCCAGATGGAGTTGTTGGGAAAACTTATTTTTATTCAAGAAGTCATTTATGTTGAGAATATATGCCTTGTGATTCATTCTTTCTTTAGTAGTATCTTTACAAAAGAATAGTTCTTCATATAGGGACTCTTGCAAATACCAAGAGGTACGTTAGAGATATCTATACTTTCATCTAATTATACAATGAAGTTTGAGCATCTTGGTGTTTTAAATGTTTTTCTAAGCTATCTAGCTTTCCCTCTATCAGTAGCAGCTAGTTCCCAGAGCATTATAGACTTGGGGTGAAGTCTGTTATTCAGGTTGGTAGATATGAACCATTATTTCATACAGCCTTCTTGGTCATTTGGATCCTAGGGTCCGTTTGGGGTCACATCTGAGAAGTCCTCATTATGTTTACTTTGGAATACAGTTGATTACAGGTCAGAGGAGAAGCAGCAGCATTGCATTTTAAAAGTGATTACTTGCAATTATGTTATTAGTATTATTTTGAATCCTGTTTCTTTACAGGAATTTTTTTAGAGTCACTTCTCTACTTGGTGAGGGTTGTTTTCGTTAAAACTTGACAACATAATTGAAAAACCCCATAAACTGAGCATTGTTGTAGGTTACGCCTTGTGATATGCCAAAGACAAACATGAGGAGGCGCCATGTTTTCTTGGCACCCCACTCTTCCCTGAGGACACTCCACATGCCAAACATGACATCTGACAGTCTGACATACAGACCAAGCGAAGATGTAAATTAGTAAAGCTTTATTTTTTTTAACATTAAAAAAATGTCAGTTGAATTTGTAATATCTTTCCCCACTATGGACAGCAGTCTCGCTCAGGCTTTGCCTGCTGTCCCACTGTGGGGACTAGGTTCTGGCCTGGTGGGGATAAATGAGGATTCTGAACATGCTGACATTGAGACAGAAGGATGGGAGTGAGGCTGGGAAATGTGAGCGCCCCTGGCATGGGGCCTGGGGGTATCAGCTGAGGACAGGGAGGAGGAAGGAAGGGGGGGAAGATGTTTGGAGAAACTCAGAAAGCTAGCTGATTCGATGCAGCCTGCAAACATTATGAGGAGCAGAAGGTGGGAAAGAATAATGCGAGGCTGATGCCAGAGGGCCGAGGAACATTTGGGAACAAGGGAACATTTGGACAGAGCTGCGAGGCCGTTGGTATGAATTATCCTGTTTCCCACACAAGGACCCTGCAAGGCAGGAAGCGTTATCCCCATTGTACAGATTAGGAAAGCTGAAGCTCAGAGGGGGCCCAGGAGTAGTTGAATCCTAGCCTCTGGCTGCAGAGGCTGCATCCCTTGCATGCCACTCTGCTGGAAGCAGGAGGGAGGAGAGGGGGCCAGGAGGCCAGGGCAGCATGGTGATGTCAGGAGGGAGACATGAGGCAGAAGGACCCTACATCTTCAGTGAGCAGGAGAGGAGTGGTGGGAGCTAGGTTTAGAGCTGGGAGCAAGGGTGGATCGGCTGTTGGCAACTGCAGGGCACCCTGAGAACCCAGGAGTGTGCAAACTGACGGGAGCTGTGCTCATTCAGTCATTTGAATTCACACACTTTTCCCAGATAAAGTGATTTCTTTCCCACGGCACTCTGCCCTCTCACTGGCCTTAAGAGACACTGTTGGATGGGCAACCATTGGTGAAGGCAGACTTTTCTGGAGAGGAACAAATTTCAAAGCCACTTCCCCTGATGCAATTCCCATTTTGCCAGCAACCCAACCTGATCCCAAAGAGGGCCCTCAGACCCTTCCTTGCACCTCACAGAGGCCACCTATGAGCTTCTGTAAGACCAAGTGTAGCACCCAATCCAGAAAAGTCAGCTTCAGGCTCATCGGGGGATAGAAGGCTGAAGTTTAGATAGCCATGTGGAAGGGAGAACCTTGGCTCGGGGTGGAACTCAGCACCCACCCGAGGCTCCAGGCGTGATCCTGGCAGCCAACGAGCTGTGTGATTCACGGCGAGGGGGGAGGGCAGGCGCCACCACCCTTGCCACCCACACTAGGTTGCCTCCCAAGTGCTCTCAACACTCAAGCCTTCCCTCGCCATGGCACTTAAAATGCTGTCATGGCTGCCTGTTTGCTTGTCTGTCTCCCCCACTGAAGTGTAAGCTCTATGAGCACAGGGACCTTGTCTTCATTGTTGCTACATCTCTAGAGCTGAGCACAGCACATGGCACACTACAGGCACTCAGTCATCTTTTTTTGTTTTTTTAATTTTTAAAAAAGATTTTATTTATCTGTTTGAGAGAAAGAGAGAGAACGAGTGGAGTAAGGGGCAGAGGGAGAAGCAGACTCCCTGATGAGCAGGGAGCCTGATGTGGGGCCCGATCCTGGTACTTGGGATCATGACCTGAGCTGAAGGCAGACGCTTAGCCAACTGAGCCATTCAGATGTCTCATCATCTTTTTTTTTTTTTGGTAGGTTCCGCACTGGACATGGAGCTCAACGTAGAGCTTGAACTTATGACTCTAAGAACAAGACCTGAGCTGAGATCAAGAGTCAGATGCTCAACTGACTGAGCCACCCAGGCACCCCTATAGGCACTCATTCAAAATGGAATGAATAATAAGATCAAACACTAAATGGTACTTACTCTGGGCTAAGCCCTATTATAAAGGGCTTACATGTATTAACTTATTTAATCTTCATAACAGCCCTTGAGGGAACTTAGTAATATTATCACCATTTTATGGAGGAGCAAACTGAGTCACAGAGAGGTTGGGAACCGTGCCCATGGTCTCCTAGCTGGTGGAGGGAGCTGGGATTATGAACCCAGGCAGTCTGCCTCCGGAGGATAGATTCTGAACCATTCCTCTCTACCGCCTCTGAGTAAATAAATGAATGAACTCATGCCAAGCCTCAGGAATTGTCTAGGCAGGGATCCTAAGGTCTGTAGGCTACAGGGAGACGTGTGCCCATTAGGAAGTATATTACCCTTCTTGGGAACCTCTCTTCTCCCCCTTTTTTAAACACAGGATCAGGAGAGAAAATGGGAAAAATAAAGGCAGAGATGTCCAGGAAGAGGTCAGAAAACGGACTAGAGGACTGATGGTCACAGATGACCAGAGGACTAATCAGATGTTGGGTAAATGTTCCAGAAGGTCTACCACCAAAGTGCCAAGCAGAATGAATAAAGGCAATGCAGCAGGACCTGCACAACCCCCCATGGCTCCTCAGCCAACACAAGGAGAACACAGGGTCAGAAGGCAGAGAGAAGTGGATCTGGAAAGAGAGTGGCTAAGCGGTGTTTCCAGTAGGTGCTTCAAAAAGACACATGGAGAGCTGCCAGTCACCTTGCAGTTGGGCCCCTTAGGCCTGAGAAAGCCCAAGC